GCAGGAAAGAATATTCAGTGGAAAAAAGACAGTATCTTCAATAAAATGGCACTGGGAAAATTGGGCAGCCACATGCAGAAGAATGAAACTAGAGCAGTCTCTTACACCATACACAAAGATAAACTCAAAATGGATGAAAGACCTCAATGCGAGACAGGAATCCTAGAGGAGAACACAGGCAGCATCCTCTTTGACCTTGGACACAGCAACTTCTTGCAAGACACATCTCTAAAGGCAAGGGAAACAAAAGCAAAAATGAACTACTGGGACTTCATCAAGATGAAAAGCTTCTTCACAGCAAAGGAAACAATCAACAAAACTAAAAGGCAACCCACAGAATGGGAGAAGATATTTGCAAATGACATTACAGATAAAGGGTTGGTATCCAAGATCTATAAAGAACTTTTCAAACTCAACACCCAAAAAACAAATAATCCAGTCAAGAAATGAACAGACACGTCTCCAAAGAAGACATACAAATGGCTAACAGACACATGAAAAAATGTTCAATATCACTCGGCACCAGGGAAATACAAATCAAAAACCACAATAAGATACCACATTACACCAGTTAGAATGGCTAAAATTAACAAGACAGGGAACAACAAATGTTGGTGAGGATGTGGAGAAAGGGGAATCCTCCTACACTGTTAGTGGGAATGCAAGCTGGTACAGCCACTCTGGAAAACAGTATGGAGGTTCCTCAAGACGTTAAACATAGAGCTACCCGACAACCCAGCAATTGCACTACTAGGTATTTATCCCAAAGATACAAATGTAGTACAAAGAAGGGGCACATGCACCCCAGTGTTCATAGCAGCAATGTCCACAATAGCCAAACTGTGGAAGGAGCCCAGATGTCCTTCAACAGATGAATGGATAAAGAAGATGTGGTTCATATATACAATGGAATATTACTCAGCCATCAGAAAAGATGAATATCTACCATTTACATCGACATGGATGGAACTAAAGGGTATTATGGTAGGTGAAATAAGTCAATCAGAGAAGAAAAACAATTATCATATGGTTTCAGTCATATGTGGAACATAAGGAATAGCATGGAGGACAATAGGGAAAGGGAGGGAAAACTAAAGGGGAAGAAATAAGAGAGGGAAACAAACCATATGAGACTCTTGACTCTGGAAAACAGACAGTTGCAGAAGGAGGTTGGGTGGGGAAAAGGGTAACTTGGTGATGGGCATTAAGAAGGGCATGTGATGGGCACCTGGGTGGCTCAGTTGGTTGGGCGACTGCCTTCGGCTCAGGTCATGGTCCTGGAGTCCCAGGATCAAGTCCCACATCAGGCTCTCTGCTTCTCCCTCTGACTCTCTTCCCTCTCGTGCTCTCTCTCATTCTCTTTCTCAAATAAATAAATAAAATCTTAAAAAAAAAAAAAAAAAGAAGGGCATGTGATGTGATGAGCACTGGGTGTTATACGCAACTAATGAATCACTGAACATTATATTAAAAACTAATGATGTACTATTTGTTGGCTAATTGAATTTAAATAAAAAATAAAATGTAGATGATAAAAAATAAAAAATAAAAGGGAAATGAAAGTCAAGTCTATAATTGCTAAACAAAATATTAGAGAACAAAACAAAAAAAGGAAAGTGCTATCAAAATATCAAACAATATTAAAGGGTAGTACAATGTGATCAAATAGACTCATTCTAGAAAAGCAAGATTCATTTAGCATTCAAAAATCTACTTAAGTAATTAACCGTACCTACAGAACATATGATCATTTCAGTGGAGGCAGAAATATCATTGTATAAACTGAAAAATCGATTCATGATAAAAAGGAAAAATTTTTGGCAAACTATGAATAGAAGGACATTTACTTAATCTGTTAATATGTCTTCAAAACACTTACACCAAACATCATGCTTAATGTTAAAATCTTAAAATCCTTCTCCTTGAGATTGGGAGGAAGATGGAGGAAGGAGCCACAAACCAAGGCATGTGATTGGCCTCTAGAAGCTGGGAATGGGGGTGCCTGGGTGTTGCAGTCAGTTAAGTGTCTGACTCTTGGTTTTGGCTCAGGTCATGATCTCAGGGTCATGAGATTAAGCCTGAGTCCGGCTCCACACTCAGCACAGAGTCTGCTTTGGATTCTCTTTCCCTCTCCCTCTGCCCCTCCTGCCCATGCTTGCTCTCTCTCTCTCTCTCAAATAAATAGATAAATCTTAAAAGAAGAAGAAGAAGCTGAGAATGGCCCTCAACTCATAACCAGCAAGAAAAGGGAGACCTTGGTCCTACAACTTGTTGAATCCTGCCAACAAGCTGAATGAACAGGAAACAGCTTCTCCCCTGGAGCCTCCAGAAAGAAATGCAGCCCTGCTAACACCTTGAGTTTAGCCTGGTGAGACCTGTATTAAACTTCTGACTCCTTACAGAACTGAAAGAGAATAAATTTGTGTTGTCTTAAGCCACCAAGTGATTTGTTACAACAGTAATTGAAAATTAATACAACAGAGCAAACAAAAAACAAGACATGTTCAACTACAGTCCACCCCTTGGCTCCTGAGTATGCATGCATGCATGCATGTATATGCACACACACACCCTTTCCCTAACTGATAATTCCAAAGATGACTGCACTTATCATAATGCAACAATCCTTCTTTCAATCATAAAAGTACTCCTCCTCTTCCCTTGGGAGATGGCTCAGGACCGGATCCAAGTAGATCATACTGCAACAAGCCGAAGACCTGGAGGTGCTGTCCACACATCATGAAAGATGAAAATGTTGAGTTTCATGATCTTGCAACCTCTAGGTGCCACGGATTTAACAGTTACCCAGATACCTAACCTAATCAAGGGGGAAAATAAAACAATCAGAATAAAAACTCTTTCAGAAAAGGTAACATAAATCCAGTCATCAGTGGTCTGAATAACACATCATGCCCCTCTGGGTAGGGAGGAAGTGAGGTCCTGATCAATGGACAACTTGGCTGGCTGGGTTCCACCTGCATGGAAGATTTGGTTTCTGCTCCCTTCTGTTCTCTGTGGCCTTGCCTGAGAGGGGTGTTGGGAAGGGTTATAGCCTGGGGACAACATTCTGAGGGTGGAGGTAACCATCCTGGAGGGGACTGAACAGTAAGAGGCTCCTGAGGCAGGTCACCCTCTGCTGATACCATCTCAAACACTGTTTTGATGCCAACTGATTTATTTCCTGAGTCCTGCCATGACAATCGCCCCTGTCTCTATGACTTTAGTCAGTGGCTTCTGGCCCAGCCCTCCTCTCTGCCTCCAAGTGGTGGGAACAAAGAACTGAGGTATCCAACCATTCCCAGAACTCTGCTCAGGCCCCAGGTCACAACCACACCCAGATTTATGGCAGATGCAGAGGTGCAGAGAGGCAGGTCAGAACCTTCAACAGCAGCAGGCATAGCAAGAGGGGCTTAGGGTCCAGGATCCCCCTGATCCTCCAGGCTATCACATCCCAGCTTCCAGAATACCACAGTTTGATGGTCCCCTCCCTAACTCTGCCATAGGGCAAATAATTCAGCTTTTGCAATTCAAGAAGGTTGACAATTGCTGAATTTTAAGTGGCCCTGGTCCCTGGCCACAGGCAGAGTGCATTTCTTAAATCTCAGGATACTTTTCCAGTTGACAGCCTTCTGCCCTCAAATCAGCAGGACTGAAACCAAATACATCAGTCTTGTACCGCCTCACTGATGGCCTCGATAAAGAGCTAACAAACCCTAAAAGCATTGGCTCCTCCACCAAGAGTGCCAGGCCCCAAGACCCAGCACCCTTGCTGAATAATGAACATAGCATGTCCAATCATAAAATGAAACACACATCCTGGTTCTTTTAGGAAGCCTATCTACACCCCGTATCTAAGTAATTATTACTAAGTTTTCCTTGTTATAAAGTCCAAAGAAAGGGGCCCAGTTTGATATTCACATTATCTACCTCATCTGTTTTTTAAAAACAGGCAGAGAAAAAACACTGGAGGACACCACAGACGAGGAAGTTAGGCGACACCATGTGAACTCAAGTGGTTCTAGGAATAAAGATGCCGCTGAATCAGAAGCAGAAGTTTTACAAGTCTTTTTTGAGGAAAGATTGTAAAGGACTTAGAGACCCCTTTTCAGCACCCCTCACATTAGAGAGAAAGAGGCTGCCATGTACCAATTCCCGGACCTGCTGAGGGATCGGCAGGTAGAGAGATCGGCAGGCGGAGGCCATGAAACACATTCCCAGATTTTGCAGGAATTGGCCTTTCTCTCACCTGGAAGAAAGGGAAGAAGGAGAAGCAGAGAGAGCGAGAGAGAGAAACCGGGGAAGAAGAGCCAGTCTCTGTGGCATCACCGTGACTTTCTGACTTGTTTGGGGGTCTCCAGCTATGGCTGTGGAGGGGCTGCACCCGCACGGCTGCTCCTGGGGGGCGGGGCACGAGAGCCCTTTCCTGCCAACCTCATCTCCTCGGCCCGATGGCTAAACACCTCCCACTGCAGTTCAGAGTTTGCTGAGGCGGCTTTGGGAAACTTGAGTGCTGTTTTGAAGTCTGCAACAGCCTGGCTGGAAGGTGCTCTCAAGACTGGGACTCAGTGTTTCTGCCTCCGCTACTCTAATCAACTTGATAAAAAGCAAAGCAGGAGTCTGATGCTGATATGAACATATTTAGATGCCTATTATGCTTTCTGAAGAATCTAGAGTCACTAATGAATTTTATTACTGTTTTTTTTTTAAGTGTCCTTGATTATTTTCCATTTTATGGTCAGTTAAAGAAAATAAAAGCACTTCTTGTTCTCATCCCTATGCCAAAGTGAGTAGTTGAAGGTCCTAAAACAGGGGCCCTGGGATGACCTAAACATCAAGGAAGCTCCGCCCTGGGAGCTTCCCGGGAGAACCACATCTCACCTGTCACCCCTGAGGGCAGGAAGCCCGGAGGGATTTCCATTACTTGCATAATACCTGGCCCACAAAAACATCGGAAGCATCACACGCGCGCGCGCGCGCGCGCGCAGCCAATAAGATGAAGTATAAAGGCTCCTGGGCACAGACATGCTCACCCACAGAGGCCTTGGCTTCAGGGGTCTAATGTCAGCCAGTGGCCACGGATGATCTGGAAGAGACCACCCGGGCAGGCTCCTCTGGTCGCGGCATGGGGTCTGGGCGGCCCGGCGGGCGGGTCCCTCTGTTTGCATGGACCGCAGGTTGCAAGGGGCTCTTCGGTCCCCGAGTTTGCGCCCCTGCAACGTGTCTCTCCTTGGAGACCTCCCTTCCCAGAGAGCGCGTTCCCGGGCGCTGACGCCGCGTGTCGAGGGAGTCCCTTTGGGGTCCGGCTTTATTGCGCAAAGGACCCGCGAAGGGGAAGCGCGGCGCGTGGGGACGAGGACTTCTCCCGACTCCTCCCGGGGGCTCGTTCGCGGAAGCGAGCGCTTTCCACTTGGGCTGTGTCGCGCTGACTCGCCACCTGCGTGTGTCGCACACACCTGCAGATGAGGAAACCTGCGTTTGTCTGCACACAGGACCCCCAGAGGAAAATTGGCTAATCGTGCGCCGCGGGGCTCGTACTGAGTGTGAGGCGGACACTCCTCGCCCCCACCCCCGCCCCTAGCGCTCGGGTTCTGGAAACCGGTCGGGACGGACCTGTCCGGGTGTGGCGAGCCGAACCGGCAGGCAGCCCTCCGGGCGGGGGCGCCCCTTCCCAGGCGCTGGGCGGCTACGCCCCGGGCCCGCGCCCCTTTGTGCGGCCGCGGGCGGGCACCATGCTGTCCACCGCGGGCAGGTATGCGGTGAAGAAGAGGAAAAAGCCGGTGCGAAGGAGGTACTGGGGTGCAGGGGCGCGGGCTGCGCGGGGCCGCGAGTGTGGGGTGGGAGTCCCGTGTCTGCGGCACCCAAGCCCTTCCCGCGGCCGGAGCTCCGCGGGATCCAACGCCGAGGGTACTGGCCTGGGGAGGATGGAATGCAATGCCAAGATTCCCCCGTCCCGCCCCGGAAATCTCTCTGGGGGCCTTGCTCAGGCCTGGGGGAGCGGGATGCTGATGGCGATTGCTGTCTGAGAAGGGCGCGCGGGGGTCTCCCGGGTCCACAGTCCCGGGACCGCGGAGCACATGCGGGCCGGGGTAGAGGTCCCGAGTCACAGCGGGGGACTGGAAGGGAAAGACCTTGCGTGGTCCCCCACCCCCACTTATAGACGGGATGCCGAGGCCCCGCGGGGTTGAGGACCCACTGGCCGGCCTTGACCCCTCTGATCCCGGGCAGGGTCCCTTCCACGTTCCTAAGACCTGGCCCAAGAGATCTGTGTGGCCCCTCGGGCTCAGACGACGTTCCTGAGGACAACAAATCAGAAGTCCTGTAGAGAGGACACTCCTTAGGCAGAGTCCTTGGGCCAAATATCTAAGGGTCTTCGCGTGGCCGGGAGAAGCTGGGGCGGGGCCCGGGGGCTGCAGGACACCTGGCAGCAAGGGCGGCGGAGACGCTCCC